AATTTGTTTATTAAATCCTTCCTAATTATTGTTTTTAACGAAATATTCATTTTTGAGCCCCTCCAGTTGTAATATTTTTGGAAAATTTCGCTGCTGAACTCTTTCTAATCGTCGATTTTTTCTCTCTTGAAGCATTAGCTGTTAAACCACCCCTTCTATTTGCAGTATTTTTGGAAAAGTTTGCTCCTAAATTGCTTCTAATTGTAGTTATTTTTTGAAATATTTCCTCTTAAATCACTTTTAGTTGCAGTATTTTTGGAAAAATTCGCTTCGAAACTCATCAAAGTAGCAATTTATATTTTGTTTCTTTTTTCCCTTTCTAAAAAATTCGCTCTTAAGCTTCTTCTATGGCGAGTTTATTGGAAATTTTGTTCTCTAACAGCAATATTTTGGGAAAATTTATCCTTAAAACTGATTTTTGTGTAGGTTTTTTTTGTTTGTTCTTAGATATGCTTTCATGTGCTGTTATTTAGAAAAATTCGCTCCTAAAAGACAATTTTTTTTTAAAAAAATTGCTCTTTAAACGTGTGTTTTGCGTGCTTTTTTTTGGAAGAATGTGTATTTGAATTTGTGCTATTTTGATAAATTATGCCATTAGATGCGTGTTTTTGGAATAATTTGTGCCTATACAACAGCTTTTAAGCTTGTTTTCGATAAATTACGCTCTTGCATACTTAATTTTTTTGGAAAAAATACATTCTCAAACACAATTTAATAGTGTTTTTGCAAAAATTTTTTGTAAAAATATACTTATACGCAAGTTTTCTTGAAAAATTCCCCATTAAACCTCTCGCAGAATCAACATTTTCTTGTAAACAAACAGCAAAAAAAATTAAATTTAATACTTTGACAGTGTTCCACATCTTTCTTAATGGTAGAAAAACCTCCGAAAAACCTCTAGATTCTAATTATAACACGGCTGAAGTTGTGAAGAGAGTTCTCTAGCGTAAGATAACTTTATAAAATAGCATAGAGTAAGATAAAATGGAAGCAGATCGAGGTCTTGTACAGAAAAAAATATATATATAACACCAAACTCACCAAAAAATAGGGAAATCTGTCAAAGAAACCCCCAAGTTTAGGAGCAAATTAGGCAAATTTGGGTGGATTCTGTGGTGATTTTTACAGTTAGATGGTGTTAGGAGCTTAATAAACTATCAAAATCTATATTTATGATGATAATTTGACTAAAAACTGGAGAAGTATCGTGTTAAGTCTGCAACGATTCTATTTTCGACTCGCTGTCTCTGTATATATAGACGAGGCGGGGATGCAGAGATATTGATATCTTCCAGGAACTCTCGAGCAATTTTTCTACAGAAAAATACGAAATTATCATTAATTTATAAGCTGTGTTTTGTAGAAACGATCTTTTTTCTAGTCACAAATTCACTTTTCTACCCCAAAACACCACCCAAAATCCTCTCTTTTAAGGCTGAAACCGTGCATTATCGTAGTAATTTCGTACAGAATGACCTTGGGTGGGGCGAATATGTTAATTAGTTGTGTTTTTCCGCGAAGTTTGTCCACGTTTTGCTTGTTTTTTTTTTAAATCCATTTCGAGCGTATGTTTACGTGTTTAACTGCACATTTTACAGGTAGATTTAGTGATTTGAAGGGAAATTGGGAAGTTGTTTTGCTCGATTTTAACACGAGAAAACGTCAAAATTGTTAGTTTCCTGCATAAAAACAATTAAAAACACATCAAAAACAATTTAAGCACATCACCAACTTTCCATCTGCTACTAAATTCGTGCGTTAGAGAGTGCAAAAATTCGTGTTTTACAGAAATTTTATGCGTAAAATGTATGTTTAACAGTAAATTTACCGTGAAAGTTTTCTGTATTTTTATTACGAAAAACTTTGTTTTTTGAAATCGTATTATTAATACAGTAAAATTGTTCAAAATCGCTTCATTTGTTGTTAGAAAATGAGATTCTATCTTAATTTGATGAGGAAACGTTACAAAGTATAAGTTTTTATATATAAAAAAAGAATTGTAAAATGTACACCAGGAAAAACATTAAAATCTACAAGTGCTCTGCTAGAAAACGTTAGAAACTATAAACTATATTCTAGGAAACTGTAGAAACTGCACAATATATTCTAGAAAAACGTTTGATAGTTGTAGGCTAGAAAACGTTAAAAATATAGTTTGAGGTAAGAAAACGTTAGAAAGTATAATTTGTAGACTGGGAAATTAGATTTTAAATGTTAAAAACGTATACTTCTATAGTTTTTGACGTTTTCAATCGTAGACAATGTGATTTTGATAGTCTGGAAAACGTTAAAAATAAAGTGAAAAATGTTAAATATACAGATCTCTCACCATAAAAGTAATTTGCTATAAGCTTTGCGTTGACGCCATTAGCATGTGTTGAAAACATGGAAAACTAAAGAGAAAAGCAGATATTTTTGTCTCTGTAACAGCATAAACGTTTATTAAACAGCAGAATGACATGTAACAAACGTTTTTCTTGCCAAAAATCTGTAAGAAGGGGATGGAAACGCCGAGAAATCAAAAGATTTTTGACACGATTTTGCGAGAGAACGTGGAATGAGATTCGTCACCGCGAACTTTGACCTTTTTATATATTGTGACGAAATGGCAAATTGCCCCCTTTTTATTGTCCTGTTCTTACGCACTTGATTGAATAAAAGGAAGCAATTCTTTCAAACAAAAGGAGGATAAGTATCGTTACTATAAAAGCATATCATCTATTTTTAAATGGAATCTTCGTCCTTAAATTAAAGGGAAAAAATCGATTTTGCCTGAAAAATACCAAGAAAATAATGATCTTGCTTGGATCTAATAAAGTTCTAAAGCCTGATACTTCTTTAGAGCAGTTCAAAAGCCTGATATTTTGAAAGATTTTCTAGAAAATTTGATGTTTTAAGCAGATTTTTTATGGTTTTCTCAAAGCTCATAATTTTGTTTAGAAATTCTGCTTAAAATAAAGACTATGGCTGGAAATCGTAATTTTTATGAAGATTTTCTCGTTGTAACCCTTGTTTTTTTTACTGGAAACCAGCAAAAAAAGAGGGTTAAAATAAGAAATTTTTCTACAAAATATGATATTTTAATAAAATTTGAAGAATTTTAGAGTTTTTAGTTGATAATTTCACTGAAAAGCAGAAAAACTGCAAGTTAAAAACGCTATTTTAACCAAATGTTCCGGTTTCTGAAGACAATTTTCGGCTTGGAAAGTTCCTAAATTTGTCGAGAAATTGCAAAACAATCGTTCAAATGCAAAATTTTTCGTGAAAATTAATACTTTTTATGAAAATTTGACGATTTTCTGCCACAATTTTTAGCTTGTAAAGACAATTTTATGGAAGAATCACACTCATTTTTCTAGAAACTATCAAAATTCTTAGTGATTTTAATGAGATTTTCTGCGTAGGAAATGCATCTATTTTCAAAAATTTTGTATTTTCTAGTTTTAAAAATTAAAATTTAAATAATTTTTACATGAAAGAATCTAAAATAATTCATAAATTAAAGCAAATTTTTCTAAAAAAAAAAAACCCATTATAGTTCTAAATGCCTCTATAGCATGTTATTTCTGCGTTTTTAACTTAAAAATAAGCGAAATTTTAATAAAATCTTATAAAAAATTAGCAAAATAATAGCAAATTTAATTAAATTTTAATCAAAATAACGTGTAAATTCAATAAAAATTCTAATTTTTACAACAAAAATTTAACATTTTATCAGGTTTAAAGCTAGAAATTAGGTAAAACGATCTTAAAAGTTTTGTGGCTTATAAATCAACGATTTATTCGGAAAATTTTTTAAATGTAAATTTTGAGGTCGTGATGATTCTAAAAATGCAAAATACGTAATGATAAAAAAAAAATCCAATTATCTACAGAAATGAGTATTGACGATTCAACAATATTTTAACGTAGAAAGTGTGCTTAAAACACTAT